ATTTCATTTCGTGGTGTTCGTTGTGCGCCATTGGTTGCACCGTTTCACATAGTAATTAGTTTCGCAGCCTATCATTCGCTCGTCCCCCCAAGCGCCTTAGCTCTGCCGGTTGCCCACCATTTTTTAATGTTCACCGTTTGTTCGTACTCTTCGCTGTCGCGATAGCCTTCGCCCATCGGGACGTTTAAAACAACGAAGCCCTAACCTTCCGGGTACATCTCCCACACACTGGGAAGCAAGAAAAGCTAGGAAAGGAACGACAAAACTCCGGCTGCCCACAGACGCTGGCCTTCCACAGGGCCTTTCTGCTTCCACTCCAGCGTTTCCGCCTTCCTTCAGGCGGATGCACTGCTCCAAGACCTCCGCGCATTCCCGCGGCACAAGTACTTTCCCGGGAAGTCAAACGGAGCGCGCGGAAGCTAAAGTACGCCACAGCCAGAGCGCACCCGGGGCCAAAGCGCGCTCCCAGAAACTATGGCAACAAGAAAACCAACTATCGTGAGAGTGTGCCGAGCATAGTAACGGCTAAAATTTGCAAGTAGCTCGAAATATTATCTCCGTGGGCATCTGCAGATATAGGCAGGTATTTCAAGACATTTGGGGGGGTCTGGGGATATTTTCTTGTAGCGGCGGGATATCTGCCCTGCGTTGACAAAATATTCAAAAAATATACAGTGTATTATGAAAGCCTGGCGGCGTGCCCAGGCTCCCGTATCACCCTGGCCAGACTGTGTATCTATAGGCGATGAGCGGGTCAGCCTGGCGGCCTCCGAAAACTGCTCCCGGATTCCTACCTTCCTCGTATTCTTCTCCTCCCTTCTCTCCTCCCCGCTGTCATGTCCACGCCCCCCTCTATCCGTTTTCGCTCCGTTCCACCCCTCACCCGCTTCCCATTCCGATTCCCCACCCTACGTCTAGTGCCCCTCCAGTACGCACTTTCCCCTCCCCACCACCTCTCATTTCCAGACTTCTAACACCTCTCCTGGTTCTTTTCGGGGGTATTTCGGGCAGGTGCGCTGCATAGTTCTGGGTAAACTGAACCTGAATATTTCCACCCCATAAGCACAAGAAATAAAAAGAATAAGCGCTAAATTCCGGAGGTAGGAGTCATATCTTTGCGATTGCGGCTAACAAGTGAGAGCTGGTGCTTCGCAATACACTAGGCAATAACTCACCATCTCTCACTCATCGTGCTGCGGTCGGCACACTAGCAGCGCTACAGCCAGATTTCTGACACTTGTAGGGTGTTGGGGTGCCCCGTAGTGCCCCGTGATGAAGCAAGTTGTAATTTTATAGCCCGTACGGGTGCGGGAGGATATGGCATCAGGCCTTTGCCGGAAGGGCGGGGAGGGGAGGTATACCGCATGGTATTTTTTTATCTCAGAATGCAGAGCCAAAAACGTCCGCGCAGGAAAGCCGACAGGAAATCTGCCAGCTGGGAGGGCACGGGTGGCCAGTGAGTAATTCGCGTTATGTTTCGGCTATTGGCATACAGAGTGGAACAATAACAAATGAGTGAGTTCCTATGGCTCTGGTTTGTAAAAAAGGACTGATTAAGGAATGTATCGTATTGGGTGGGAAGGCATAGGAACTAATACATCGGTAAAAGTGAAAAGTAACAAAGGAAAAGAAATATATAAAGGACGGAAAAATGCCCAACACTTCCTTCGGACCACACTGCAGCAACTTGCCACTCCTGACCACTGGTTTGTCATTCTAGTTGGTCCTACACAGTCTACCACTTTTGCCCCGTGTATTCCTACTGTCTCCTCGCCGGTTGGAGCGAGTAGCTCACTACTCACACAGCTGGTGCAACCGGGCAGCCTCCGAAACGGCGAATCACTTTGGCGGCCTGCCGACCTGGCGGCGGGCAGCGATCCTACGTGAATGGCGGAGGACGGTGTTCCTCTGGGAACGACGGGGGGCACGGCCAGAGGATTGGGGCTGCATATTGTCGGGGTTTACAGGAAGTTCCTGCCGTGGACGCCGCCTTATCGTACCTGCATCGCCAGGCCCAGCCTGGAGCCGCACCACCGTAGCAAGGTTTTTGACACTTGATAGGGTGTTTGGATGATCTGGTCCAAGAATCTTCTCGCGCCCCTCGAGTGCACGCCGATGCATCTCTTCTGATTCGTCGTACTTTCCTTGGGATTGCAGCACCCCAGCCAGGTTGTTGACACTTGTTAGGGTGTCTGGGTGGTCGGGTCCAAGAATCTTCTCGCGCCCCTCCAGTGCACGCCGATGCATCTCTTCT